TTGATTGGTTTCATTTTTCAACCAAGGAAGCAATAATGAAATATCTAATTGATATTGTTCATACCAATGAACTTTGGGGGGACAATAAATTTAAAAGTATAGCCTAGGATGCACAAAAACATGCACAAGGCCTGTTGCTGTTTCAATGTTTGCTTGTATATTTACGAGTAATCCTATTTCAATCACTTATTTAAAGTAAGGATGCATAGAGAAAGATGGCTTAAATTTGGTTATCAATTGTTTTCATGATCAATCATTAATAGAGGATTGATATATTTCATCTAAACATTTCAACCAATTTCAACATGAGACACACACAAGTAACTATTTAATTTTCCCAATATTTCTCCTCAGTTAACACCAGATATAATTAATCAAGTTTGACACTTCCAGTTTTAATACCCAGACAATGGTAACAAACATATCAATGGTTTATGTGAACAAGGAATAAAAATCAAACTGATTTAAATGGTCCCAGTTCGCATGGTTAGTTAGTCGGTTTAACACGGCAATATTGCGGCCATATGATGGCGGTCTGTGAATAAGAGAGGCTTGACCAGGCAAACTAGTGATTATTATTATTATTATTTATTATTATTTACATTATGACCAACATACATTGTGATCGGGATGCGAGGACATGCAAACATCTAAGTCACAGAGTCTGACCACCTGATCCATTAAGCATGTTAAGTCGCCTTGTATGCCAACCATAGCTTGCTGGAGACCTTTTGTAAAGGAGAAGGTCCAATCCATGCATCATAAACCTCAGGTGAAAGACAAAGGTGAAAGATTTCTAAATTCTTTTTGTCATACATGTATTTCTATTTAACACCCAGATCATTTTATCTTCTCCTTTTTCAGACAAACACCTAAATGTTTTTTCAGGAAATTAACCTCAAATCAACCCTGACAAATATTTCTTCTTATTTTTATTTTGACCATCAATGAAATCAGAAACCACATTGGCCTGTCATTTGTTGATTGTAGATACAGCAAAATGTTGTGTTAGTCAGTTTCTTAGGTCAAGACTTTCAGCAGGAAAACACAACAGACTATTCCTGATACAATTTCATCTTTTCAAGCCCTTGGAACACACCACACAGCGTCTCCTATCTGAACATTCTTCTGCCTGTTCTAGATATCATCTACACTACATTAGTTTTTCATAATTGCTCCATAGCAATTTATGGCACTGTGTTCTAATGGTGTTCATGGTAGGATGAATAGATTGAAAACATTTTTCTCATGCTGGATGACGGCTAAAAAGCTTGAGTGAGACATCAATTTGTCAACCAGAACTGATTAAGAAGCAAAATTTACCTTATCTAAAATCCCTGGCTACCAAATTCTCAGGCACTTCAAATACATATCTATTAACAAAATCTAGCAACTGGACTTTTGGGTTGGATTACAATTGCAATGCTACACTTTATCCTAACCATAGAATGTACACCATATAATAAAAGGATTCATGTTATTTGCATACATACAATGCCTCAAAATAGATAAGTAATGTGAGACAGGGCAAGCAACCATCCCTAAAAAGGAAAGTAATATTCCGTATTCGACATAATAAGCGCCCTGCTCTTATAAGCGCCCACGGCGACATTTGCTGATATATTGGCTGGTGAACAATCCCAATTAGCACCCCTTCCGATTGATCAATGTACACAAGATTTATTTATTCGCGTATAATGCACACTCGTGTGTTATATGCACCCTTAATTATGGGCAATTAAATTCTGGGAAAATATATCTGTCGTACATAAACATTTCAGGCTGTCACCATAAACCACAAAATTGATCTTTTTTCACCAAAATAATATTCTAATAAGAGCCCCCTATTTCTAATTTTGAGAGCGCCCTGGGCGCTTATTACGTCGAATACTGTACCTGTATTATTGAGAGTGAGAAGTTATTTCAACTTCCAATCTGTCTAGTTGCCTCAAAGACATAGACAAATAAATATCTTCCTGTCAAGTTTTTTGTTTTGTTTGTTGCTTAATGCCATACTCAGCAATTTTGCAGTTATATGACAGTGGTTTGTAAATAATCAAATCCGGAGCAGACAATCAAGTGACTGACTTTCATGAGCATCAATCTGGGTGGGATGGCATGGCATGGGATAGGATGACATGCATGATCCAAGTAAGTGATTCTGACACCCCCCCCCCCCCAATCCAGTTAGTTGCCTCTTACTACAAGCATGAGTTGCAATATTCCAGCTGTATGCATCTGACTGTAAATATACAGACAGTCTGTGACTTTACCCATTATGCCGTAGCCCAAGTAGAGATAAATTCCTTTCAATCTAGTAAGCTTTACTAATAGAAGTATTAACTTTAAGATCTGCTGCAAATGATGCAGAGTGTCAGGTTCGGGTTAGTAGATTCAAAAGCTTTCGGCACCGACTGTATAGAGCATATTCACCAATAGGTGGCATAATAAATATGAGTATAATGTACTTTTCCAGAACAGTAGGGAGGAATATATTATTTTGGAAACACATCAATCATTAGTCTCATGTGTCACTAACAAACATTTCCATCGCCACCCTCACCACTCATCTTCCAGAAGGCAAGGGAATTAACTGACCATAAAAGTCCAGTTTCCACCATTTCCTAACTAGGCTGGAATTTCAGAGGTCTATTGTGGCTAGACTAACGAGTAAATACGAGTCCAATCAAAATTGCATCACGAAATCGACATCTGGTTCGTAAACTGCTGTGCAGATTTCATTCGACTGCAGGATTTCCAAAACATGTGTAGTATCAACTCAATGTCGACAGATATTTTTGATGCACTTAACGAGGGACAACACATATTATTACAATATAGATCTTCTTTAATAGGTGACGCCATTTTGTTTGAAGCAAATGAAAGTAACGGGATAGGTGGAAATTGATTGGTCACAACGGGGGACATAGAAGGGACATCACTCGTAATAGTTACCTGTGGCAATATGATTGAGCCATGAAATTCCAGCCTAGTTCGGCAAGGGTGGAAACTGGACTTATATAGTCGGTTACCTCCCTTGCCTCAGGAAGATGCCCCCATCCCCCTCTTTATATTTTCCAATCTACATACAGAAAAAGACCAATACAGGTAGTGGTTCATGAGGTCAAAACATATAATTGTTAGTTTGTTTGTTGTTTAACGCCGCACTCAGCAATATTCCAGCTATATGATGGCGGTCTGTAAATAATCTAGTCTGGACCAGACAATCAAGTGATTGACATCATGTGCATCGATCCACGCAATTGGGATACGATGACATGCATGAACCAAGTCAGCGAGGCTGACCATCTGATCCCGTAAGTATAACCTCTTAGGACAAGCATAGTCGCCTTTTATGGCAAGCATGGGTTGCTGAAGACCTATTCTACTCCAGATCTTCACGGGTACAACACATATCACTATCAGGCTAAGTTTTAACTTATCATTAACACTTGGGTCAATAACCAGAGTTTGAGACCACCACGAATTTGATACATCCAGTATCACAAATACAAAAAGAGTTTGCCAGTATCAGACTGTGAGTTTAACATAAACTGTGATAAAATAACATCCGAGCTCAAGACAAGAGGGTTTAAGTGTACATATAACTTTAAAAAATGAATGTGGGTCCTGGGGTCCAAAAGGTTTGATAAATCTTTAACTGTTTACATTGGGGTTATGACACAAACCCCTCAACTTTCATTCTTAATTTTGAATGGATTTTTAAACAAACTGGTAAAGGCATCTTTCTAAAGTCGACGACTGGAATTCATGCTGTGTAACACCAATGTGATTGCATTATGTTGTCCCTTGTTATATATACAGTCAAGTCCCGTTAATCCGACATTGATGGTTGCATATGATTGTGTCGGATTAACGAGTATGTCGGATAAACAAAATTTAGTAGTATCAACGTTCGTGATCGAAAATCGGACAACTACACGATAGATAAGGATTCAAACACGTTATAAAAAATATGTCGGCCTTATCTCTCTCTAAATATATATATATATATATATATATATATATATATATATATATCTCTATATATATATCTCTCTCTATATATACATGTATGTATCGTCAGACCATAGGCTTTCGGACGTCATACCGTTTTGGACGGCCATGTTTTCACGCTATAACCATGATAACAGGGGTTGTAGCTTCACACAGACATTGTAGATACTAAAATGATGGCTGGTTTTTAAAAGAAGGTTGTCTTTTGAAAGTAAATAAGATGTTTTAGAGTTGTTAATGTGATTACTCAGAAAACTATGAATGTTTGTTAAGTGTCCAAAACCCATAACACTGGGAAATAGAAAGATGTAGATAGCCAATATGTGATGGTCTATTCCATCAAGTTGGGTATCAGCATTGTGATAACGAATTAATTTAACCATAACCTATGTTTTAAACCATATGACAAATGGCACGTAAGACACATGGGAGGATACCAATGAAAGTCAAGGGGTCAAGCCAATGTTAAGGATATCAAACCTAAACTTACTGTATAAATCTAACACAGCAACTTATTGTGGCCTTAATTATGCTAATGACAGATCTGATGTAAAATAGTTGTGGAGAGGGTCTGACTCTATGGGAGGATTTGACAACATTCTCAGAAAAGTGTTATTAGGATCACAATAATGGGAAGGGCAATCAAGTACACGTCTCTCCATAATCACATTTTTTTATATGAGACTGTCACATACAAAAATAATGTCAATATTTGTTACGTATCTCAATATTTTCAAGATCATAGATCCAGGTATAATCCCGCAGAACGTATGTTTACCAGAAACTACATCGATCGCATTTTGACAGTTGTAAAGTTGGACACTGAGACGGTTGGTATCAACTACATGACAGGCCGACATCGTCAATATAACTTATAAGTGTCGACGATAAACATCGCAGACGGTACTGTTCAAAACGTCAACACAAACTCACAAATGTAAATCTCAAATTCAACTAGATCTACAAGCTTTTAGGCCCCTGACCTAAATAGATCTGTGCAAGAGAACATACACGTTGTCATTCGATCAGTGTTTTTATACCAACAAATCCCCGAGAGCCCCTCGATTGTAATGCTGTTACGGCGTGTCAGGGTGAAGTTCATTCAGTACGACCTTTACCCAAGATGGAGGGAAATCCCTCTTCCATATAAGGAAGTATGTGCACTACGTCACCGAAAACATATCCCATGGTGCCTTTCGAAAGTTCTATTTCTAAACCAACCAATCACATTGTAGATGGATAGGATATGTCACGTGCTGTATGATCTCATCGGCAGCCAATGGGGTTTCACTTCAGTGATGTCATTCTATTTTTAGCAATGTGACTCATCTGTTAAATAGGCGGTAGACCTTCTCCACGTTTAGGTTAGAAAAGACCGTGCTCACGATCACAGCGAGTCAGTGTGTTCAAACTTTCACGATATCAAGACGACTGTTCACTTGACTTGAGACCATTACGGTTTCAGAGGTAAAGTTCACGTGAAGAAACTTTTGCCCCCAGTCATACTGTTTTAAAGTGTGTTCATCATGGAAACTAATTTCTACGAGACCGACGATGCGGCGAGGGAAATGCGACAGGCTATGAAGAGAAAAATAAATTCATCGCTGGGACTGTTTTCAAATTCCGGCAGTGGTGATCGAGATGCCGTGAACAGGCTGAAGCAGAACATGAAATTGGACTTTAATTCCGAAGGATCAAAGAAGTCGAAGTTTAGTTTGCTTCAATCTCCCGACCTAAATATGCTAAAACTGGCGTCGCCTGAACTTGAGAAGATGATCATTCAGGCAAACGGCATGGTCACCACGACGCCGACACCAACTCAGTTTATTTTCCCGAAGTTTGTCACAGAAGAGCAAGAAGCCTATGCGAGGGGATTTGTGGATGCTTTGGCCGAACTTCACGATCCCAACCAGACAGAAAATATCCCTATCACTATTCAAGGCAAGGGTGTGGTTTCTAGTCAGTCGCTACCCCAGACCTCGAAGGGGTGTGTGGCACTCTTCGCCCCTAACTCGAACTCTGTCTCATCCTTCAATTCAGTCCCCACGACAAATCAGGGACTGACAACTACTACCTCATTGCCTGGAGGACTAACTGTGTCGTCTGCTTCACGTTCATTGAAGTCTGTGAGTAACAATGACATACTTCTTCCTCGGTTGAAAGAGGAGCCCCAAACTGTCCCGTGTATTGAAAATACGCCTCCCCTCTCTCCCATCAACATGGAAAACCAAGAGGTAATCAAACTGGAGAGGAAGAGGGCAAGAAACCGAGTTGCAGCAAGAAAGTGCCGAACGAGGAAACTTGAGAGAATTTCACGTTTGGAGGACCGTGTCAAAGATCTGAAGGGACAAAATGCCGATCTTGTTACAACTGCCACAACTCTCCGAGACCAAGTGTGTAAGTTGAAAAGGCAGATAATTGACCATGTCAACAGCGGCTGTCAAATCATGATGACACAAAACATCTCATTCTAAGATCTGACATGTGTTTCCAGAGATCAAAGACTTATAAACTGCAGGGACAGAATTCTCAGTGCTTTCCATGGCCAAAATGTGATGTGATATTCAGACATGACTCCTGGTACGGTGACAGACTCGGATTCAACTGTCCGAGAACTGGTTGATGTTGTTGGAACCGTTGAACGGTTCGATTTGTCAGTTAGTACCATGTAGTACGGATATTTTTATTTTTGTACATTTGTACATATGCAAGACTTTGAGATTCAGAGGTGCTTTTGTTTCTTGAATTCTTTGCAATGTGCGAAGATGTCTCAAGTGCGAGATACGATGTCATTTCATTCATTGTGTATATATAATCATTCCACCCACTAAATTAAAAGTTATCGAAGTTTAAATCTGTTTGTATGTCGTTATTTTCCAACGCTTATCCACATCGCATGTTTGACTTCAGTACATATGTATATTTGTACTCAAGTAGGTCAGCCCATTCCTCCAGAGCCTCACACAAGGGCGCTTCGCCATTTGAATTCGATTGTTCGAAGTTAACGTTTGTGCCATTTTCACAAGAAGAATTGTAAAATGTTGATGGGCGTGAGTTTTGTATTAACAATAGGTCAAATTGCAATGTTGCTGAAGTCAAACAAGTATAATGTGGAGTTAAATTAGACCAATATTACACTGACACCGTGCGAAGCGTGTCTACCCTAGCGTGAGGTCCATTGGCACGTTTGATATACCCATGGGGCATGTATACATGGAGTTGGGAGACATGTCAGAGTTAGTTTATTTTCACATACATGTACTCCTTAATCACAAATATCGGATCCCTTTTTCACAACAGAAGAGTAAACACGAAAGGCTTTTGTCATTATCTGCAGTACAATTACACGAAATACGACGTTTCACATATTCAGTTTCATTCGACTTCAGTTTACAATTACAAAACACTACAGAAATGTAACAGATGTGAAACAATCGTCACAAATGATTTATCTCGCGAATAAAACTCTGTGCTGTGCCATTTTTGTTAACAAGGAATTTCAGACAAAGGCCTTGACATTCTCTATGGGGATTTCTTGCCGTTCTCGTCGCGAGATCAATAACGGGACTCGCGACCCTGCCCTTGTCAAATGCTGCTCAGTTCAATGGAGCTGTCATATAGGGGTCACGAGGTCACGCGTGCAGTCCGAGCAATAATAAATAACGGTACAATGATCCGGGCAACGCGAATATCAGAATATTTAGGCCAGCGTTTATATGGAAAACATCTGTCACACCGCATCCATATTAATACAATATACGGTATTTTTTCTTTGTTAGAAGTAACATTCCTGATAATATGCGGACTGCAGGACCGTGAGAGAATATGTTTGATTTTATTTCCTATACATTCTACGGATAGACGTAGAGGTCAATAGTAATTTGGAATTGGTTTTTAGTAGGTGAATTGCAGCGTCATGGGAGGGTAAACTAGCTGCCACATTTGCACCTATGCAAAATTAAACTGTATGCATCACTGATTAAAGTTCCCCAGATGTGTAATGGAAGTTGGGACTGCTCCCCCGTCAACGAGCTGTTCCGATTGTATACACTCCCGGGCAGAACAAGGTAGACACTTGAAAATCTGATTTGCCCAAAACATTACAAACTTTCTCAAAACGCTACTTGGCTGAACATTTGCTGAAACATTGCAAAACGTTAAGTCCAAAACACAAATATAATACCCTTTCAAATACATCATCAACGAATGATAATTTCTTCTTTGTTGCATGTTTAGCAACCATCACTAACATGGGTTTATACTTTTGCACGGCAGTTTTGGTGTCAGTTGTTATGACCTTGAAGTTAATCTTCCCTTTGTAAAGACTAGCAAATTGTATTTGCTGATTTTAGTTGTGTTAAAGTGGAGCACAGTATCCCCTATATGTATCGGCCTTAAATGGTGACGAAATATTGTCACCCTTGAATGATTTTGTTTGTTGTTTAACGCCCCACTATACAACACTCCTGTTATATGTCTGCGGTCTGTAAATTATCTAGTCTAAACCAGACAATCCCGTGATTGACATCATGAGTATCGATCTACACAATTTGGGTTCGATGACCTGCATCAACCAAGTCAGCGAGCCTGACCACCCAGGGGCCTCATATACAAGCCTGGGTTGCTGAAGACCAATTCTAATGGGGATCTTCTCGAGGGACCCCTGAATGAATAACGCGAAGGCATGAGTCGTAAAAACAAAACATATTGCATTCTTAAACAAATTTATCACGAAAGAAACACATACATAAAAACATTTTCTGTAAAAGTCATATCGAAGACACTGACACGACATCTACATGTTTGTCACGCGTGCTACATTCAAAGCGAGAACTTCACAGTTGACAGCAGGGTATCAAATGACACCTCTGAAATACAATAATTGCCATGGTTATAGAAAGTCAACGTAGCAGAAGCCTACATCTTTGACACTCCTGAAACTGTATGGTTATTTCAACTTAAAAGTCTGAGTATTGAACCAACAGCACAGATAGTGGAGAGTCAGAGATTAAGACGTACTGCCTATTACAATCAAAACTCACACACAACACTAAATATCCAAATATGCACATATACATTAAATATTATGTTAATGTATTTTCTGTTGTTGTTTTTCGATCTCATTAAGGTATGTACTTTTGATCATGAATATTGATTCAAACCTCGTGATGACATGACACCTCAAGTGGACCTGCAAAGCCACAACCCCACGTAGGGATCGATGACTTACACTCAGTTTTGGACGTACAAGGTCCCTCCTGTCCCTCACTTATATTTTACTCATTCTGTCCGGGACGCCTCAAATTTGTTTGTTTGTTGTTTAACGCCGCACTCAGCAATATTCCACCTTTATGACGGAGGTCTGTAAATGATCGAGTCTGGACCAGACAGTCTAATGATTGACATCATGATCTTCGATCCATGCACGCAATTGGGATACGATGACATGCACCAACCGAGTCACCGATCCTGACCACCCGATCCCGTTAGCCGCCTCGTTCGACAAACGTGGGTTGCCGAAAACCACAATTTCCCCCAAAATTCCCCCAAATGACTATAATCAACCTGTCTTGACATGACAGATTGACTATAGTCATATGGAAAAGAAATTCGAGTGATCCTTAATTTCTTTTGAGTAGTATATTTGAATTCCTCATTTAATTTATTAATTCCTTTCATGTATTTGAATTAAGTATCATGGCATAGAGGGAAACACCAGAAACATGAGATCAACAGTAAAATGAGAAAACGGGTTTAGAAGCTTACACCTGTCTATCATTCGTAAACTGACACATGTACTTCTTAAAAAAAATAAAAAATAACACTAACGACGTCGAAATTCACACCAGCATTGTACATGTAACATTTACTACTTAAACAGATAAAGAACGACTTGAGATTAAATACACGCATACATCCATACTGGATTACTGTGTGTGTATGAAAACGAATAATTTTCAATACAGAGTTTAATAGAAACATCAAACATATTTTCCATTTGTCATATGACTGATGCCACCAAAATATCAACTATCAATGATATCAACTATGAGGGAAGCCAGATAATACACGAACACAAGAAATACACTTTTAATGAAATATGGAAAACGACCTTGATGCGGTTGATTACACAGAGTAAATGAGATTAAGGTGAA